TGATGGAATCCCGGTTTAAGCCGGACGCGGTGCCGTGGGCCTCGTTTTTTCCGCCGTTTCTGTCAACAACTACAACAAACAACAACAAAAACGCCGAAAAAAATGGTGCCAGCGCGGCGGCACACCTGGTAATTGCTGGCGAGGACAGGTGGCGAGAACAACAAGCAGCAAACAACAACAACAAGGACATCAAGGTCGTGCGCGACTTTCACACGTAAAAGACGAGCATTCCTCTTCCACACAAAGAAGCGCCCGCTGCACTACGAAGAAAGGGAAGGCCCATCAGTGCCGAGCCAAAATACGAGCACAGCTAACGAACGGGAGAGAGAGAGAGTGAGCACGCCGTGTCTCGGTATTTGAACCCGATGGAAGAGTTCACCAGAGGCCGCCGCCGGAGGCTGGAGGCGAAAATCATGTGGTCAGCTCGGGTCCATGAGCGCCGGGCAAAGACAAGACGTGGGCGCGAGAGAGAGATAGAGAGAGAGGCGGGAGATAGTGCACGGGTGGAGAGAGACAGAGAGGGGCAAACCGCAAGTTATGAGGCACTCGAGGGCCCTTATTAGCTGCAGAGGGTCGGCCGAGGGGCAGCCAGGCGGTCCGGCAGACATCGGCGGAGGTAAGAGGTGAGAAAGGGTGGGGGCAGGGACAAGAGGGGCGAGACTAAGCTCGCTAAGCTAGCACTTGGGTTGCTGGACGCGCGGCGCGGCGGGCAAGGCGGAGGCGGGCCGAGGCGAAGCCGCCAACACCAACCACACTCCGCGCAGCGTCGGGGAACAAGGCTCCCTCCGAAAAAGTGGGTAGCTGCAACCCGCACAGCAACCCTGCAGCGTCGAAAATAGAGATCGCAAGAAAGACCGCCGGAGATTTGAGTCCCCGAACATTTGAGGATGGAGACGTGACCCATTTAGTCGGAAACTAACCCGTTGCGGGCGCGAGACCTCCACTGCCATTGAGGCCAAGCCGCACCAAGCAGAGTCTCAGCGAAAACGGCCGCGGATCCAATCCTGTAAATTGTTGATACTCCTGGCGGTACTTAGCCAGCCAGCCGGCTGCAGCCGGGCTCCCGGTCCGGGGTGCGCCGCTAACTACATGGAGGTCTTAACCTTTTAGTACCCTCCTTCGAATTAACGGCGGCATGTTTCCAAAGTCCGGCGGAGCTCCGTGCTCGGAGGATGGAAGGCCGGGAAAGCGAGTCGGGCGGAAAACAGGAAAACTGCGCGGCGCGTCGACGCCCCCATCGGGAAGCTAAATGATAAATTAACGCATTTACCCCCCAAACGAGGCCTCGGGAAAATCCTCAAGGGCGGCGCGCTATGCCTGTACATATTTTACTGGTATGGTCTGTTGCCACATCCTCTTGCAGTTTGTTGGGCAACTCGAAGCCGTTCATCCAAAATGAATGGTGGCAACACTGTCTGGACTGGGCCGCGCCGAGGCCCCCCCACTGGAATGGAAACACTCGGAAACAAAACGATAGTCGACTCGGCTTCCACTTCCTCGAACGAGAGTATCGGGCATTGCGATAAACATAATCCAAGAGGGGAGGGCACAGTCCGGCACAGTCCGGTTCGCTTCGACGGTACGCTCCGGATTACGACTGATGGCAAGGCGCCCCATGAATATTCAAATACACAGCAGCGAAATCCCCCCCCCTCGCCGCGGGGCGCCGCCTAACCCAGCCTGCCCCACCTAACCAATAGTAGGGAGCGGAGCACCTCCGCGGTATATCGAGTGTTTTTATCAATGAGTCACCGGTACGCCACACTCAAAGCGTCTGTAGGTGAGTGTGAGTCAGTGTCGGTGTAGACTGTGCCAGGCTTGTCTGTCGATGGTTGGGTGTGCATGCGGGTGAGCCCGTGTGTCTGTGGGGGCTCAGAGAGGTGAGGGTAAAGAGAGGGGAGGTAAGGGGATGCACGTGCAACAACCGGAGATGAGTTCGTCAAATAAACTGGGTGCCGCTGGGCCCGGCGGGGCTGGCGGGGCGCGCGACGCTTGGTGAGTGCTCATTTTCATGTTTGCCGTGCGGCACGGTGGCAGCAGGCGGCAGCAGCAGCTAGCTAGCAAAGCTCAGGGCGCGCACATGTGCCGTCCATGTTTTCCCTCCGGTTGCCTTTAGTTTATGTAAGCGTTAAAACGCGGAGCAGGGAGGACATGAATACGTCACGCTCAGCCGAAAACCGCAAACAAACAGGCAGAGACGAACAAAATCAACCACCAAAAATAAAAAACAAAGCAAAAAAGCAAACAAAAACAACAAAAATATTTTAAAAAATTTTCTGATAGAAACTTGAAACGAAACAACTGAAGATAAATAAGAGGTAAAGCCCGAAGATAAATCTCAGGTAAATTCCTAAGACCACGCCTAAGATAAATAAATGTAAGGTAAAGTCGTAATGTAAATATGAGGTAAAGTCCTAAAGCAAACATAATTTGCGGTGAAGGAGTGCCAAATTGGCCGCACAAAAGCCAGGCCTAGGGGGCAGGCCTAGGAGGGCCCCACAGAGGGCCCCCTCCAGGTGGCGTGCCTGGAGTGAGGCTTGCCGGGCTTGCCCGGAGGAAACCGGACCACTTTCCACCTCAGCCGCAGACGACGACGAGACGTGTCCAATCTGCGGGGGGCGATGATCGCCACTAAGAAGGAGGGGGCCTTGCGCGGGGCCCCGCCGCCGCCCAGGGACCCAAATGGAGATGCAAATCTCCAAAATGCTTCCGGGACAAACGCTCCCATAGTCGTGGCTAGGTAGGCAGGAAGAACTGCAAACAATCGTCGTCTCTTCAAACCCAACCAGCCGCACGTGCACAGCCCAAACCCCCTCCCTCATGATTTGTTGAGCGAAAAGTTGTCCAACTGATCCTTTCTTTCCCTAAACCGCCATTCAAGTTTGGCGGTGTCTCACAAAACATGGAGAATTCAGTACAGGGTGCCCGAGTACTAAGGGGAAGAAACGAAGCGCGGCGAAAACTTTGAGAACCGCCGCCTAGTGAGCCGTCGAGCCTCGCCTCGCCCCCTCCCGGGAGGGAGTCCCGGCAGTCGCACACGCAGGCCCGCGCCCGGCCCGCCGCGGCCGCCTAGTCACCGCCTTGCTGCGTCTGCCTCCAAGTTGTAATGACAGAGCACCGCGGCGCCACCGCCCTCTTGTTCCTGCATATTTGCATCCGATTTCCCAGTTACTGTGCTGAGGCGCTGCCTCGTGGCGGACTCTGCCTCGTGGCGGGCGCTGCCACGCGGCGCGAGTTTGTGACGAGTTCCGTAATCAGCAATAACCTACTTAACCCCACTTTGGCGGGGCCGCGTTGCAGTGAGCGCAGCGCGGCGCCACGCGACATCCCCGCCGCGGCGCGCCGCGAGGTCGCAAAGTGAAAAGATGCAAAATGGAGCGAAACACAAAACATCGACTTTCCTCTTTTTTTTGTGTTGGCGGTCTAGACGTTACGACCTGCAAACCCCACCAGGGGTACCAACAGGGGCGGGAAAAGATTCCCCCCTCCCTCCACCAGGGTTACCAACGGAGATTCTCCCCCCTGCTCACCACGCCACTGACACGCCAGGGGTACCAGCAGAGGGAAAAAGAATTTGACGAGCGACGCGCCACGAGGAGACGGGCGTGCTTCCACCAGACAAACGAACGTCTTCCGAGAAACGCGGCATGAGGCGCGGGCCGGGCGGGCCTCGGGACAGACAGGAACGAATTCTCACTTAATTAACGTCTTGGGGCTGCGGGGCTCTGCCGGCGCGAGGCTCCCAATGACACGGCAATCACCACACGGCCTGACATCCACGCTGCTTGTAGCAAAGCAGAAGCCTAGTGCCCCGAGTTTGGCACGCCTGCAGAGCGGACTTGGGGGCAGCCCACCGTTTTCCGACTTGCCTCATGCTGCTGACGGCCCCTTTTTCTGTGGTTTTTCAACGCGAATTTTGTAAACCTCCTGGACAAAATCAAATAGATTCCAGTGCCTTGCCTCCTCCACGATGCGGGCACTCCATCCTCCTCCGGTCCCCCCCCCCTCCCTCCCGGCAGTACCACCACAGCGGTCTTAACTGCGGCCCCGAATTTATGGGGAGGTGGCCGGTGTATGCCATCCGATACATCCCGCTCTGCGCGCTCTGCGTCCACACGGCCGGCACGGCCGGCACGGCGAACCTGCATTCGAATCAGGACGGTGTATCGGGAACCGCTTGGAGCAAACCGAAAGGGTCCACTCCACTGCGTACGGCCAAATTATTTCTATGTTTCTTTTTCTCTGCGGCGAGGCTCACCGAGCTTCCACCGCAAAGGTACACACAGCGCCAAGCGGGCAATACGTTCCAGCAAACACAATGCCGGCCAAGCATCATTGGCTTACTCGCCACATCATTCTGTTAGGAGTTCTGAGTGTTGTGGTCGACTTTCATTTTCCCTTTTTTATTTCGCAGTGCAGCGTGTGCAGTGCCTCCATGCATCACGATGCGTGACGCCTCGGCGCGCCATTAAGGCCGTGTAGTGTAGACGCCGTGTAGAGTTCGCCCCGCTCGCAGCACGGCATCAAATCGGAACACCGTTCCGCTTGACACACTGCACGCAGTTACAGTGCCGCGACTTCAGCTTGCTACCCTCCCCGTCTTTCTTTTTCGAAGCGAGGAGTTATCTTTGATAACACGCCGGGCTGTGTTGGAGGATAAGCGCTTCAGAAAATTGACGTCTAAAAATTGGCGAGGAACGAACACAGAGTTGCGAAGGGAAGCTATTTCCGGAGCTGTCATTCCTCCACGATAAAACTTGAGACGCGGACGAGAGACCGGCTGCATGGCCACTTTGAAAGGCAATCGATCTAGATGAGGCCGGCCCGATAGTGCTTTACTCTTTACTTTGGCGATCAAGGGATGACGAAAAGGTAAACTTACAAAAAGCAACTCCCCGGGCCGGCCAACCTTCGTCGTGTCCTCGGGGCCGTGTACCGTGCTCCGTTCAGCGCGACTACGATTCTACTTGACGCGATCGCACTGAACCATCGCAACTCACCTTTTTTAAGTCCTTGTTGGGTTCTCCTTCGTCAGCTTTCCGCTTTTGACTCGACGCCAGCGAGAAGTCCGACCCCGAGCAGTCTCCGGCCTGAAACAGAAGTGCTATTTGTTGAGCGGAGAAGCAGCAGCCGCAACCGTACGGACAGGACAGTGACGGACAGGCTCGGACTGGTCCCCAAAAGGCCCCAGCGGATAAGACCGCAAAAGGTCCCCGATCATCATTATGTTTTTACCCTTCATGACCAACTTTGTGAGGCTACCGCCCCCAAACTAGTTGCGGTCAATAGCCTTCCCGATACAGGGCATGAAAGAGTAGGGTCTTAAGAATACTAGGGCTTCGAGGGAGGCCTTTTACGGCAACTAGATAGGACACAGTGGCCGCCCAAAGTCAGCAAAATCAGCAAATTTCCGAGATTCAACCACTTTTTGACCAACTTGGTCGGAAAATCGTTGCGGTCAAAGCCAAAATCGTTGTGGTCAACGTCTTCCCGATACAGGGCATGAAAGAGTAGGGTCTTGAGAATACTAGGGCGTCGAGGGAGGCCTTTTACGGCAACTAGATTGGACACAGTGGCCACCCAAAGTCAGCAAAATCAGCAAATTTCCGAGATTCGACCACTTTTTGACCAACTTGGTCGAAAAATCGTTGCGGTCAAAGCCAAAATCGTTGCGGTCAACGTCTTCCCGATACAGGGCATGAAAGAGTAGGGTCTTGAGAATACTAGGGCGTTGAGGGGGGCCTTTTACGGCAACTAGATTGGACACAGTGGCCACCCAAAGTCAGCAAAATCAGCAAATTTCCGAGATTCGACCACTTTTTGACCAACTTGGTCAAAAAATCGTTGCGGTCAAAGCCAAAATCGTTGTGGTCAACGTCTTCCCGATACAGGGCATGACAGAGTAGGGTCTTGAGAATACTAGGGCGTTGAGGGGGGCCTTTTACGGCAACTAGATTGGACACAGTGGCCACCCAAAGTCAGCAAAATCAGCAAATTTCCGAGATTCGACCACTTTTTGACCAACTTGGTCAAAAAATCGTTGCGGTCAAAGCCAAAATCGTTGTGGTCAACGTCTTCCCGATACAGGGCATGACAGAGTAGGGTCTTAAGAATACTAGGACGTCGAGGGAGGCCTTTTACGGTGACTAGATGGAACGCAGTGGCCGCCCAAATTCAGCGAAAACGGCTGCTTTCGGAGATTCAATCACTTTTTGACCAACTTTGTGGCGTTACTGGCAGATTTTTCTGCCTGCCTGCCCTGGCTAGCCCGAGTCTGGTGACGGACAATCTTCATTAGACATTTCCCCCCTGATTTCATTCCGCTGCGTGCGTGCGCGTGCTTCGTTACAGTGTCTGGCGCACAGACACATGCTCTGGCACATCATTCCAGCCTTCCACACCACGCAGTCCACCTCCTCCAGGCCGCGATGATTCTCCTCGCCACTTGCAGCCTCCAGGAAGAGCACGTATAACATGTGCTCCAGCAGCACGGCAGAGGAGGTCTCCTCTCCAGGCCTCGTCTCCATGGTAACGGCCACTTCTCCCGCTTCCCCCGACCAGCGAGCCGCGGGGCCCCGCTAAGCAGCCATGCACGAGAAGAAGGGCGAGCACTTGGAGGGCGGGTAGGCTGCCCCCTTTTCTTCCCCCAGGCCCCTTGGCGCTCTAACCGCGGAAATTGTGGCGACGCCGGAAGGTGACGAGTACCGCCGCGGATTCAAGTAAATGTGTGTGTGCCGCAAGTACATAAATGTTACGTAATATATGGACGGCCACTACTGCAAATGCGCCAAAGTCTCGGCTGGCCAAAGTGGATTCCAGGAATACTCAAGCTTATTAGGGGCGATGGCCCGCTGGCCGGTCGGCTGGCCTGCTGGCCGGCCGGTCCGATGCGATACAAAGGCCGCCGGATTTGGGCCAGTGTGCTGCTGCTGCGGCGGGTGCGGTTTCCCGCTCCAAAGAGACGTGAAATGTTGGTGGAGATCCCCGTCCCGCCCTCCGCCGCCTCGGCCCGGACCGACCCCCCGGCACACTGCCGTAACTCCGGCGGGCGCGCTGCGGAGTTGCGCGGTTCCCGCCGGAGTGACCTGCCCTCCGCCAGTCCCCACCAAGCCTTTGTTCTCAATCCGTCCCACCGACACAAACTTTTCCGCGCACCGCTGCTCCGGCCAAGTTTTCAAGGAGGGGCGGCGAGGAAGGGACGGCGACGCGACAGCGCGGTGCCCGCCAACTAGTGCCCGCCCTGGCCGACCCGCCGTGCCCGGCGCAACAGTCCACGCTGCTGACACCAGGAAACAGCGTTGCAGCGGCCAGTGGACCAGAAGACCGGTGGAGGCGGTCAAAATCCCGAACGCGTTTTGGGCCCCATAGTCGTCAAATGGGCCTCGAACAGAACGAGTGACCCCACCAATGGATTGCTCTCCGAACGAGGAATCCATTGATGGGGTCACTCGTTCAGTTCGAGTAATCTTTTTTTGTTTCAATTTTTACTGGGTGCACAGGCTGGCGCTGCAAGGCGCGGCGGGCAACTCAAACACAGCCACATCCTCGCTGCGCCTTCCCATGTTAGCAGTAAGTCGATCCAAGCACGGCAGGGACGCATAAATTGCAAGCCAAGCAAAAAACCACTACAACAAAATAATCTTGAGAAACAACAAAAACATGATTAAAGACTAGACGGTGATGATCACGCATGCGAGCAAGGCAACGCCATTACCGCAGAGGGTTGGAAGGGGTTGGAACGCTGAACTGGAAAAATGGGCCTCGGGGCCGAACACCTCACAGTGGGGTAGCAGGCAGGGACACCGGGCTGGTAATCATACACCCTGACGTGATAAATCGAGAGGCGGACGAACGGGGGCAGGGGGTGGAATGGGGGGGGGGGTGCCTAATGCTGGACAAAGGTAAGGCTGTTCGGATTACGGGCTAAAGGGCGGACCCAAATCTGCTTACACAGGGGCTTTGCTCTGGTAATTATTTTGACCACCCGCAGCAGTCAGGGCCGGGCTAATGAAGTGCCAAGTCAAAAAGTCACCCCCTCCACACACACACACACACACACACACACACACGGCGTAGTCTCATAATAAACGAGCGAAGCGGGGGATGAAAAATTGGTGGCGCGCGCCGCCGACATTGTTGAATTTATATAAGGCAGCTGGTGTGGGGACGGGCTGGATGGGCGGATGGGCGGGGCGACATCTGGAAGGGCGTCTGGAGGATGGCGGCCGTTCGTCTAGGTGGTGCTGGAGACTGATTCCGAGTCGTTTTCGTCGCTGTCTCTCTCCTCGCGCCCATACGGGATGACACATGAGTGCGAGAGAGACAGGGCGTGTTGGAATCAGTCTGCTGTCCGCAGTGCAGCATTTCCCGCCTGCTTCAATTAGCGGAAGGAGCAGGAAAGTGCGTCTTGCCGCCAAAAACCGCGCGCCGCCCACATCCAGTGTCGCGCCGCCTCGCGCCCCCACTGGCAGAAGGCGCGCTGTGAAAAGACGAAAATTCCGGGGTGCCGACATCAAAGAAGCGCGCACTGCCACCCCTAGGCGCGCTCGCTCGGCCTACTTGTCGCGGGGCTGTCGGAGCGTGGCGGAGCGTGGCGGGGCTAGCTAGGTGTGGCGAGGCACGCCCGCGACGCCCGCCCATCACGAGATGAACCACGGCTGACGCACCGCCAGGCGGCCAGCCAGACAGCCAGCCAGTCAGCCCCCGACGAGGTGACGCGGCCGCTCCACTGCAGAAGCATCACTCCCCTCTTCGCTTCCCGCGTCCCACAGCGTTCAGTTTATTACGCCAGCCTCGTTTCGGAACAGATGGCCCAAAACCTGAGCGCGGAGCGGTGATGGCGTCGTTCATTAGCCAGCCAATCGGGTGACGTCGCGGTGACGTCACCGGGGGGCGAAACGCACTCCATGCCTCTGTGCTGTGTGTGTGTGGTAGTGGTGGTGGGGGGGGGGGGGCGCATTTAAAGCTGTTGATAGTCCACGGCCTTCCAGTTGACGGGACGCTAAACAGCTTACCTTTCCTCGGGTTCGCGGCGTTTGCCCTTTCCGGGCGTCGCGTCCGATCCAACCTCGGCCTCGCCACTGACCACGGGCAAGGCCAGCGTCACACTCTCTCTCTCTCTCTCACTCGCACACACTCCGTCACGCCGGCGTCGGCCGAGACGACCAGAGACGACGCGTTGATGCACGCGCGAAACGTAAACACAGCGCGTGCTGCGCTCTGGCGGCGGAGGCGACCAACAGGGAGTCCCGTGCCGTCCCGCGCGCCGCCGCCGCATCGCCGAGGTAAAAATAGGAAAGGACAGTGCGATCGCTGCAGACTGATTCCGAGCGTCCTTCTCTGCCTCTCTCGCACGCACGGCGCGTCCCGTGCGAGCGCGACGCAGACGGAGCGACGAGAACGACTCGGAGGGAAAACGGCGGGAGAATGGCGACTGCACCGCCAAAGGGGCGTGCGCGCGTTCCTCTGTCTCTCTCGCGCAGCCGAGCAATGCCTCGTTACCTCTCTTGAACGGGGCCGCGCCACGTTTGAGACGTCCCGGCGGGCCACCCGGACAAAAAGTGAGGTTATGCTGCCCGGCCAAAAAGTGAGGATATGCTCTGCCCGGCCAAAAAGTGAGGTTGCTCTGCCCGGCCAAAAAGTGAGGTTATGATCTGCCCGGCCAAAAAGTGAGGTTATGTCTGCCCGTCAAAAAAGTGAGGTTATGCTACCTCAACCGAATATGTGCATTTGTTACGCTAACCTTGCGACTTGTTTCTCTTTATAAAGGACGGGTAGCTGCACTCCCCCACCGCCCGGTCCACGGGGATAGAAAAATGTCGGTCAGTCCCGGTGGTTCGGCCTCAGTGGCCCGACGCCAGCAGCGGGCGGGTCGCCGCCCCGGACCCGGTCGAAGGCGGCCGACGGGGAAACTCACTTTCACTTTCGGATTGCAGACGACGCCGCGCGGCCGCCAAAGACATTTCCCGAAAGGAAAGTCTGGTCTTCGGCAACCGGTCGTCACCCCGTTCGAATTTTGGCGGCGGGGCGCGGGGCCAGACTGGCACACTGCCAGTGCGGTAGGTCCACGATCTGCAGAGCGATTTCCAAG